ATGTTATATTTTGAATTTTAAAAAATGTGAGAATGACTAAAACTATTAAAATTATTATGTTAAAAATTAATGATCAATAGTTTAACATTTTTATTATAAAACTATACACATGATTTTAAAACCATATGAGTAAAAAGTATCATTCAATAATAATATATATATATATATATATTAAACTATATACCATATAAGATTAAATAAATATTTTAATTTAAAAAATTTCAATGAATTTTCAGAAACATTTATAAATTATAAACTTATTAAATTTTTCACATGGAGAATTTTTGTTATCAATGATTTAAATATCTTAGTTCTTTTTTTTTAATTTTATATTTTTTAAAATATATTAAACAATCGATAATATGGTTATTTTTGGTACATACCTTACAAACCGAATGAATGTGATTTTATAAAAACCGTAGGAATTGGATATGGTTTGATTTATAACCGCTTAAACTGAAACATGTAAATATGTATATATTTATAACGACTCATGAGTATCTATTTGTTACATGAGTTAAACTATAATTATAATTTGTAAATCACTTGAATCACTTGAACTATAATTAACTAACAATTTACTGTAACTGAGACTTCTTATTTTCTTAATCTTTTTTTTAATCTTTTTACCTTTTTTTAACTGTAACTAAATTGAATTAAAGATTATAAATTTGATGAACAACAATTAGTTAAAATTCTTTATAACTTTTTTTATCTTTAAACAAACAGAGTTGTGTTCGATCGAAAACATATTAATTTGATGAACACTAAATATGGAAGATATAAAAACTTTTCTTTCATGCTTCTCACTACAAAAAAAGGCTAGTTTAAATCATTTATTTTATATATTTGTATTACTTATAAATGATGTAAAAGCATTTTACATCACTTAAATAAATGACTTAGTTTTTGGTGATGCAAATAATTTGTATCATTTTGTTCAATTGATGTAAAAATAACAAATATTTCCATCAATTATTTTAAGTGATGTCAGTATGTGTCAATTGTTAATAAATGATGTTACCATTTACATCATTACTGATAATTGATGTTAAATATTTATTTCAGTTAGAAATAATTGATGTTAAAATTAATATCAGTTATAATAATACTTATAATACTTTTAATAATTACGTCAATATATTTTTTGTTTATTAATAAAAAATTTATTTTATTGTATAATTATCCTAATTATTATTTTTACTTAGTGATACTTTACATAACAAACAATATCTTTTCCAATATCAATGAAATTTTCAGTTACAGAACAAAAAAAAAATCAGGAAAACTTTCATTATATTTTGCAGAATCTATATGACGAATTACAAATAATTTACAAAAAAAAAAGAGAAAACAACACATATCAAAACAACACAGCTTCTGTTCTTTCTTGTAAGATCACATACTTTATTTCTGCCATGGATTGTAGATTGTTCATGATGAAGAAACTTTGAATATCAACATATTTGAAGATACATATTCCTGTAAAAATTGAAAAAAGAAAAAAAAATTCCATAAGACCTTAGATGATTTCTGTTTGAGAATATTTATTTATAACTATTAATAGCATATAATTTAAAAATACCTTTTATATTTCTCCTGTAGAAACGTTGAAGTATATCTTCATTGACTAAGTTTACCATAACTTCACTTTAACCTGTCAATGATTGTTAGGAATGTGAATACCATTCCAAATAGCAAATAGAAACAAATAGGTGAAGAAATAAAAGGAAACAAGTAATACAAAGCAATAAAGTCTCTGAATTTTTTTGAAGAGGAGTAGAAGATGATCACTCATCAGATTCCAACTTTAAAAACGTTGGGTAAAAAGTTTTCTAAGTATTGTGGTCTTGTGGGTTGTGAGAGAAGTTTTTGCTGTGATAAAAAAAACGTGAGTTTGTGGGGTTAGATAAAAAAGGAGATCACTATATTTGTGGTAACAAATATATTTAACTTAATTTTTCTGTGTCAAAAAATATATTTATTTTTAATGCCAAACAATTTTCTTAACAAACTAAAGAAAATATAATCCATAAAATTTAATTAACTATTAGCATTTATTTTGAATTTATTTCGAGTACAATTTTACCATAAACTCTTTTTATCTAACTTTTTGGAATAATTACATATTTATAATCAATTACATATACATTGATGTAACAAATCAGTTATATATATTTTACACAATTATAATTTTCAGGTTGATTATTTAATCAGAATTTTTTGTAAGATACCCAGTAAATATATAATTTTTTATATAATCAATATTGAATATTCTAATTTATGAAAATAAGCTTTAGCATCATCAAATGTATTAAAAAAATGTACTACATATACTAATATATTGTAAACTAATGTATATTTAATATCAAATTTGCATCGTTTATTATAATATTATATTGTAAACTAATGTATATTTAATAATGTTACTCTATATCATTTCTCTAACTGATATTAACACAAGTTAATACATGTATCAGTTATTTATGTGATGTAAACTTATATTTTGTATCAATTTTTTGAAATGATGTAAATTAGGATAGATTTGTATCAGTCGCAGTGAAAATGATGTCAAATAGATTTTAAAAACATCGTTTACTATAACTGATACTGAAACAAATATTCTGCATCATTTATTAATAAATAATTCAAACTAACATCACTTATCTTTGTGATACAATTTAAGTGATGCAATCCACTCTTTTTTTGTACTGTTTTATTTTTATTTTTATTTTCAAAATATAGAGCTTTGATATTAATTATAGATTTGATCATTTTATTAGATGATAGAAGCCTTTTTTATTTTTTATTCTTTTATTTAAATATATAATATTTTTAATAAATGATTTTTTAATAACAATATGGCTCGAAATATGATCATATTATATATTTGTATATATATAATATGATCTCAAACTAAATAATTATGTTTTTGGTATAAAACTGAATAAACTGAAAATAGATGGTATATAAACCAAATCAAACTGAAGTAAATATGGATTTAGAATAGTAGTTATATTTTAATAACTGAAATATCGAAAAATAGAACCGAACCAAACCCGATTCCGGATTGAACACTCCTAATCCAAATGAAACCGAACTATTGTTTCATTTTCCAAAACATAATAAAATAATAACTTCATCATGCGCAAGGCGCGGATCTTATCCTAGTTGCTAGGTAATTTGGAATTCAAAATCTCACTACATTTTATCATGCAGTCATGTAGATATAGATTTTTCATTTATAGTCTACGTGAAACTAAATACAAGAAATATAGTTATATTTGGACTGCATCTCTATTTAGAAAGTAGTCTGAATCTTTTTATAAGTATGAGATATCCAAATTAAAAATAATGATAAAATAATAATAATAATCCCTTTAAATCATACTTATAACTAGATTCTTATAGATTTGATTTCAGGTACAGTTTGGTGTAACATAACGCACAGGTCTCTATCTAAAATATTATTTATTTAATGTTATGATCATTATTTCAACACAGCTCACTTTCACTGTAGAAAAGCTGCATCTGAAGGGTGTGGGGGAGAAAAAGAGAAGCACTTTTGGCCATAGAGTACAACACTGTGCACATTACATTCGTCGCTTTCTTTTCTTTCTAATAACATTTTATATACTATATTATATATTATATTGCTTCTGAAATTTGGCCCATTGTGATTTATTGTTGTGACCCCTCATGGGTTCCTTTTATTTCCCTTTTTCACTAACAGATAAATATCGAAGTATCGTGTTCATAAGATGGAACTTACGTGTGTTTATAGGATCTACATTGACTCCTACATCTATATGAAGCATGGTTATTTAAGTCTAACTTAAAACCTACTGTTTTCCACTTTCGTTAAGTACATTTCTAGATATTAATATCTAATTAAGAGAACTTTAATTCAAACCCTACCCAAACCCACTAAGCTGTGAATTTTAAACTGTGGCTAGAGTATGTATGTGGTTTAATTTGTGTCCCATTTTATTCATGTTTTCATATACTATAGGATAGTTTCTCAGTTTTATATTGGTAGAGAGTGCGAAAATGTAGGTCTTCAGAACTTCGTTATAAAGCTCAAAATTAACAATTTGCATATCGTTTATCTTCGACCAGGATTACAATATTCAGGAGACCATGTTTGTTCAAAAACAATTATATATCTGTATTAAAATAGAAGCTTTTGTCACAAGTGATGACACTTTATAAGCTTAGATGCATTAAGAAGAGAGAGAGAAGAACGAGAAAGGGAACCAATAATACTCGCAAGAATGGCCTCCACACTCTTCCCCTTCCTTTGACTGCTCTCTCTGCCCCCTTTGACCACTTTCTCTCTCAATTAAATGCTTTCCATACGCGCCACTTCATGCGCGTTCACATCACGCTCCCCATTCCCAAAAGCTCGCATACACGTAACTTATCTTATTAATTGCATGATTATGTCCATAATTAGGTACGTACGTCTATCTAAGTCTTTTTGTAAAATCAACGCTTAGTAGTTGAGCTAATGCTCAGAATTTTTGAACCCTAAGCTATTAAACGGTCCACATCACAGATACTTTAATATGTATTACCTCTCTATCACAATAATTTTTGTTTGTTTGTTAAAACACGAATATAATGAAATTTACGTTCGTACGGTTTGGTTTATAAAAGATAGTCTCTTGACCTGATTAAACAAGAATTTACTAAGCACCTTAGGTTGGTGTATATATTATATAGCAACATCAAATAATCGTAAGTCATAACCATATCTTATAATCGAAATCTAAACTTATCCACAACAATATGAGAGTTGGTATTTTAGTCACATATAGTAAATTAGTAATCAACAATCAAATTTCAATTAAAGTTCCATGGATACACAAATTCATTTACTTAAAAAGCAAAGAGTAAAACGTAAACACCAACTTATGTACTTAAATCACCAGGCTTGAGTCTCGAGTAGTCACTTCCTAATCAAATTAAACTAAATAAAACAACAACAATCTATGATATTATGATGGACCTCCTTGATGCTGATTATTATGGTGAGAAGAAGCCAATGCAAAAATGGAGCTCGCGAGCTTATTAATGGCTTCCACTAACCCATTCATCCCTTCCCTGTTAATCTCAACATTTGATTCTTCGATCTTTAATCTCCTCTCTTCTAAGCTCATCACTTCTTTATGTCTTCGATCTTGTCTCTCATCACTCTCCCTTATCGCGTTTGCGATCACAGACGCACTTCTTGATAACGCAGCCACCTCTACAGTCTCACCTTCCGCCGTTTCTGTGTTGCCTCCGCCGCCGCCGCCGCCGCTTGGACCAGCGGTTGTGGTCGGCATTGTTCTCCTTCGCTTCGCCAGAGATGTGTCTGAATGCGCACTAGTATCAGAATCTGAGCTAGTATCCTTCTTCAAAAATATTTATCCAATATAGCCCCAACCAAAATACTTGTCAATATCATTTATTAATAATGTAATGAAATATTCTTCTCACTGAAAATAATAAAGTGATTATTTATGAGTTGTAGAAAATTAAATAAGAACATTAAATATTTATAATTCAAAAATAATTGCATTTAATTTGCATATTGAAAATTTAAAGTTTATTCCAAATACTTATGGTAAATTTAATTACTAAATTACATGTTGACATTTTAATGCTTTCTAACTTAATAAAAATGCAAAACTTATTTTAGAGCAATTAATTATTGGTAGAATTTAAGAAGAGCAAGAAAGAAGGTACCTACTGTGGGCAGTATTGGCTGGGCATGAAAAGAAGGCAGTGGAGGCGGTGGCATATACAGCGGTCGTGGTTGTAGCGGTTGAGACGGTGGAGGTGGGGGCGGCGGAAGAGGTAAGAAAGCAGGAGGAGGAGGCTGAAGCATTTGATGTTTCTCAATAAATCCTAAACCTTGTTGCTGTTGTATCATTTTTTGGATTTGTAGTCCACCGCCCGAACCGTTTCCGCTTGCTTCTGCTGCTGCAGCGACTGCTACGGTTACAGCGGTCGAAGAAGGGTGCGTTTTACTCTCCACCACATCAAACAGCGCTTGGTATGTTTGAGGTAACATGTTACTCGGCAAGTTCCTCTCTTTCCTCTCACTCTTGTCCATCGTCCAATACGACCTCGTTTCCACAGCAGATGAAGATGAAGGCTCGGAGGCAAAAGACGATTCAACCCTCCGTCTCTCATACTCTCTAACCTTTTTGTAATCTCTCATGAGATTGTCCCACTTGTCATTGCACTGATTCTGACTCCTCATACAACCTTTCCTCCAACAGTAATCTTCTATCCATTTCCACCGTAGCTCCGCCGGTTTATTACCACTACTGCTCCGGCCATCATGTGACTGATCCGGCGCTGGAAGACCGATGGATCGCCGCATCCGCCTCTCATCATCCATCTTCTTGGCTTCAATGAGCACCATCGTCTCATTCAGTGTCCAGTTCCCTTTTCTGTACTCTCTCATCACAACCAGCCCACCACTTTGGTCAGCCATATATGTGTTCTTGAAATCTGGAAACAAAATCCAAGAACTAGAGAGAGAAAGAGAGATTAGTGTTTAGAGAGAGTGAGAGGCTTTTTGGTAGGTGTTGGAGAAAGGGGAGAAGAAAGGGATTGTCTTGGGGTGAGGATGAGTGTAGTTTTGTTAGTGAGTGTTTAAGTCTTGAGGATACTCTGATTTGATTTTATTTATTTTCATGTGAATGAGAAGACTGGTCAAAATCTTTTTGTTGTTGTACTAAGATTGTCGCCAAGTGCAATAAAAGGACAATGCTTGCGAAATTGGGAGCCAAGTGAAAAGGAAAAAATTGAAAATCTAAGTAGTGTATCCCATTTATTCATTAAATTATATTGTCTCTTTCTTTTATTTTTGTTCTTTTTTTTAATATAATTTTTTCATTCATTCATGTCTCTTTTAATTTCTTGGGGGACAGGAAATCTTAGGTGAATCTAGCATTTCTAGTTATGTACACAATTTCAACTAGAGGAGTAAATGGGTCAGTGTTTCATAAAATCTACACTTCCTTGTACATTTTCAATAGTGTATCATATATTTTATGTATGGTAAAATGCCACTAGGAAATATAATATGATGATTTGTACTAGTACGATCGATATTTGTTATGTTGCTGATGGAAAAAAACATGTGCAGTAAATGAATGTTGAGAACATCAAATTGAGAAAGAGTAAGCAAAGATGGAGGAGAACATATTATCGAATATTTCCTTGTCACTATAGGTTTTCACATCACCACTGTTACATAAATACTGGAAAACTGCATGTTATCATCTCTTATATATAAACCGTGCTAGAGCTAAGTTTATAACCAAGAAAAAGATTGTTTAGAAACGACAAAGGAGAACAATGCGATTCTGTATTTTTAATTAGTCAGGACCGAAGAATAGCTCATAAACGTTCTTATTCAACAAAGCAAATCATATGTATCTGTTTTAAACTTTTTTTGCAAAAATTTGTTTAGGTTGGAATATTTTGGAGGCATCCTATGTAGATCTCGTTTCCATCTTTATAAAAAAAAAGAGGGGATATACTTTTTCAAACCTCGAAAAGCTATTGGTTTTGTATGATTGCTTCTCTTACTTTAGCTTTTCAAAAGATTGATCTACGAATCTCTAATTCACGTGCACGAGCTAGAAGTAGAATAATTTCCTTCTTTTTTTTATGTCATTGGCTACAACACTTGGGCCTTATGCGAGTATTTATTTATAAGTACGTGAATCAGTAATTTTTGTACATATTTTACATATTTGGAATCTGCTGTATATATATATACAAGAAAAAAACAGGAATAAATTTGATTAGGCTACACAGAGATTTTAGAAATAACTAGTTCGAGCATAAAATGAATATATAGTTTCCCTTTAATCATCCTTCTCAACAGTTTGAAGTTAGCTATTTAATGGCTAGTCCTCATTTTCTATCTATGTCGAGAACTCGAGATGCATGCCATCACATAAATTTTGCTGTGATTAATTAGTTAAGAAAATGACTAATGCAAATCGATTACTGATAGTGATTTCTGGTACCAAAAAACTCATATGTTGGTTAAATAACTAAAATTTAGATCGTAACGACATATACAATTCATAGAAAGTCGCCGAAAAAGTCTTTTTTTTTCCCAGAAAATCTATAAAACATATATGTCGCATGGTGCACAACTGCTCTCTATCATTTTTTTATATAACATTTTAATTCGATAAAAAAAAACATTTTAATTCCAAACAATAAGTATCATTATCTCAAAAGCGACTTTTCTCGGCCCAAAAAACAATAGTTAATCGAATCTATAGATATTAATTTGTGTACATCACGTAACTTGCGTTGCATGGCGATGATTATTATTGCATCCATATGGACGAACAGTTCATCATTGTCTGCAAAATATGACATAAACAATCAAACTCCAACGTTATAAATAAACGATACAGAGTAGTCTTTCAAAAAAGCTCAACCAAATGATTTCTTGCGAAAAAATAGGATTATTTATGATTTATTGATATAGTTGCAACACCTTAATTATATGTTTGATACATAATTCAAAGAGTTTTCAAATATATTTTTAAATACTGTAAGATGATTTTCATGAGTATATATATACGACTGTGAATTATGTCTACATATTTATAATTATTAGTTTCATTGTAACAAAGTGATGATAGATCTGTCAATCTTTTTTAAAAAGTGGTAGATCTGTAAATTAATAAAGAAGTGAAAATGGGAGGAAATTAACGAAGCGGGGATGGATCTATCGGAACTTGCATGGAGGTAGTGGATTGAATCATATGTACTTCTGCATGCATGGATCGTATGCTTTATGTAAAGATCATATCTCTTGAACCTCCAAAGTTTATTTACTTTAAATAAATAAATCGAATCTAGTATCAAAAGCATACATGAATTAATAATAAGGCCGACGTTACAACCTTGACAATCATTAAAAATTTATAAGCCTCTCTTTCTCTGTCTTCTTGTTTTGTTTGTTTAATGGTTGACATGCATGACACTATAATTAGTCAAGTCAAAATAATGAAACCCTAGGGTAAAAATATATCCACTGAAAAAAACAGAATGAATAAATTAATTGGTGTTGATTCAATTCTTTGAAATATACTTCAAAATATGAGATCGAAGGTCTTTACTGTATATCTTGCAAGGATTAATGGTTCTAAGCTTCAAAGTTCCAACTAATAAGTATAAAAAATATTAGAATTATGGTAATCATCAAATCCCATTTATGGGTTTACGTACGATAATATAAGGTTGAAAAAAAAGAGAGTCAAATTATGCATTAGATAGAGGGTATTAAAATTAGAGTATGCTATAAATTTCACTTGACTATCTATATCAATTTTTTTTGGGGGGGGGGGGGGGGGGATTTAAGCTTTCTCCGTTACAAATGTTCAATTTTTATATTTTAATTATATCAAGATTTATATAACTTATCCTTAATCCTATTTATTTATAGTGGAAATCACTTTTAGCAATTTGAATTTTCCTAACTCAGTCAACTACTCATCTTCTGTATTTGATTGACTACATATATTTTGTATTGTATTTTTTAACATATATGTGTAACTCGTTTCCAACTTTTACATGCTATTATTTTATATTTTAATTATATCAAGATTTAATTTATATAACTTATCCTTAATCCTATATATTTATAGTGGAAATCACTTTTAGCAATTTGAATTTTCCTAACCCAGTCAACTACTCAACTTCTGTATTTGATTGACTACATATATTTTGTATTGTATTTTCTAACAGATATGTATAACTCGTTTCCAACTTTTACATGCTATTATTTACTCGTACCAGTACAAGACGTACTGGTCATATTGAAGAATTTGCTCATTTCCAAGATTTCTCATGTGGTTGGATCACTTTCTGCGATTTCTGGCTAGATAACGAAACAAGGGAAGAATAGGTTTAGTGGTGAGACAGGTGACAGTAAAAAGAATAGAAGAATAATGTGAAATTTTATGGATTTGATGACCAAGACAGTAAAAAGAACAATATGAAGAAAAATGCATATATATATATATGAGTTTTTCTTGGATTTAACTCCTAAAATAAATCTCGATATTCACCGATCAATAAAAATTTATCATATTATATTCAGTTTTTGAAAACAAGGAATAAAATAAAAAGAATTTAACAAGTTGTATTGTGTTTTAAAAATAAAAATAATAATAGCTGCAAAAAGATATTTTTTAACAATATATATTAACAATGTCAAATTTTTTTTTTCTAAATTCTAAATCTTAGATTCTTAAGTAAACTCTAAAATATTGGATAAACTCTAAACTTTTGAGTAAATCCTAAATCTTAAAATTTAGGATCTAGGATTTAAAGTTTTTCTAGTAACGTTTAGAGTTTAATGTTTATGATTAAATGTTTAGAATTTATCAAAGGACTTAGAGTTTATCCAAGGGTTTAAGTTTAATGTTTATGATTTAGGATTTAGTGTTTCGTTAACAATGTTAAACTTTTTTTTGCAACTATTATTATTTTTTATTTTTTATAACATTATATTATCTTGTTTTCTTTGTTAAAAAAGTTAAATATGAGATGAAAATTATTATAGGTTGGTTTACCCTAGAGGAGAAGGGTGAATCTAAAAAACTTTTATTTTTTATTTTTTTGAACACCATAAAAAATACTCGAATATATTTGATAATGTTGTTGTTTGATAACAAAAAAATATTTGATAATGTAGGTGTGGGGAGGACAACATGGGAAATAAACGGGAAAACAAAGGTCCATTTCGTTTTTTTAAGACAGGACACTGAAAAGCCTGTGTCGCCACGTCAGCGTCTCCCTTTCTACTTATTTAATGTTGGACCAGCTAGGACCTAAGTATTTGCTTTGACCAATCGCTTTTACTGTTTCTTTGATATATATAGCTATATACAACAGTGCAGATTCGTCCGTTAAATTTCAAATTTATATGCCACGATTTTTTTTCAACTTACGGGCTTTTAAGCTTATCAAGCAGCCCATCAAGTATTATTCGTAAGTAACTAAATTTGTTTTTTTTTTTTTTCTTCTAAACCAAGTAACTAAATTTGTTTGGGTATATATCACTACTCCATATTCAGTCCGAATATACTCCATTCAACAAAATTTGGTACATCATGGAGACTTATCTTTGCTTCTGAAAACTAACCCATGCATGGGGTTTGACATACACTACAACTGGGTGATAATCCGCGTATATGTGCGGAGTGAAATTATATATTAATAATCATTGAAAACTAATTTTGATCATTCTACCATTATGTCATAACTTTGACCGTCAATAAAAGGTTGATGAGTAGGGTAACATTTGTTGATATTTTTGACTTTTTAAAAATCTATTTACATTGGACTTCAATAATATCATCTGGATGTTAAAATTCACCATCTCATTTTGATATACAAAATTGTATTTTTGAAATAATAAATAAATTTTGAGAGCAGCGAAATGAACATTAATTATGTATACAAATCAATTATACATATTATTATTTATTTTATGTTCATTTACGTATTATTCTGTAAAAGTATATTGAATAATTGAGAAACGAGTAACTATTACGTATATAGTTAAACTGAAGTAAACATATAAATAAAAACCACCCTCTTTGTATTTACAATATTGTTTTGTTGATAAAAAATCAAAATAATTAATTCTTTATTTTATATGGTATATAATTAAACTTAAAAGAGATTAACTAAATTAGATAATATATATTTAATATGAATATTTATTAATTAAATTTCGTACTCATATGATATAACTAACATTTTTATATTTACTGTGACAAATATTATTTTTATTTATATGAATATTTATCAACCGATGCTTCCTACTCAAAGCAAATTTTGAAACTAACATATTTATGTATTTTATATATATATATATATATATATATATATATATATATATATAATATTTCCTCTGAATATGTATTAAAGAGATTTCATATTTATATGATTTTATGACTATTTGTAATTTGTTATAACAAAAAGTTAAATCATTGATCACAAAATTTTTAATGTTGACTTTTAACAAATTTAATAATTTATAATCGTTTAAAAATTCAAAATATAGCATATAAGAAAAAATCTAAATTTTTTTATTATATTATTAATATGGTTGTTTATTTATTTTAAGAATATAAATTTAAAAAAATGATGGAAGATAGAAAATTGTTATCAAATCTTTATTATTCAAAATCATTAATTAATTGTATATTTGTTAACCACATTAGATAATTTCGTAACTTTTATTTAAAATATAATGGAGAATATTCTTTTATACACTACCAATTAATGGCATAGTTAGTTTAATAAAAGTATACTATATATTGAGATGGACCAATTTATTTTTCTAAGGTCTAAGAATCAACATAGTGGTGATATGTAACTACCAAAATATGTTGTAATGCTCCAAAATTAATATATAAAGGATATATGATAGGTGAAGAGAAATACTCCAAATTATTTAATAGCACATGAGCAAGTTTGATGAGGATTGGACAGGTGCTTTAGTAACTGGACTGAATTTTTAAATTTTATATTAACAGAACTGAAGTAGTTGATAATAAGTTTAATGTTCTAAAAACTCAACCAATTAAACCATAGAGTTTGGGACTTGGTATTCACTTTGAACTGAACCAAATTAGTAACTTGGTTTGATTTTGGGTTTCATGACTATTTTAGTTGCTTCCCCAAACTACCTAAAGAAAGTTTGATGTAAATACAATACCATGTGAAGAACAGAGTATAAAGATGAACTTTTGTAATTTTATTAACTTTCAATAATAATACACTCAATGCATTACAACCATATATAAAGACATCTCAGAAAGATCTAGATAGCTTTGACTAGCTAGCTTTAAAGTAATCATCCGTTACTTAAGGATAAAAGAGGATCAAATTGGTTTTGCGTAATGACAAAACCCTTTTCTGTACACACATCTCCTCTGCAAGTAGATGATCGTTGGACGTAATGGGCTAAGGCTTGATGCATACTCTTCTCGGTTGGGGCTAGAGATCCATTACGATTATCATCCCCCCTCAAACTTGTGGTGGGAGGAGATCCTACACCGAGTTTGGCATGCAAGTCAAAGAACGGTCTTCTAGGAAGTGATTTTGTAAAGATATCATCAAGTTGAACTGAAGAGGAGATGTGCTTCGTCTCAATTAATCCAAGTGCTACTTGTTCTCGGATGAAGTGAAAGTCGTTTAGACCTCTTGTGCAAAGCCGGATTCGTGCTTAAGTATACAGCAGAGAGATTGTCACATAGCAGCATCGTTGCATGTGGTTGAGGTATACGCAAATCACGCAGCAAGAGAGAAATCCAACTGATCTCCTGAGCTGTAGAGGCAAGGGCTCGATATTCAGCCTCTGTAGATGACTTAGAAACAATTTCTTGATGCTTTGCTGACCATAAAATAATATTGGAGCCAAGCAAAGTACAGAACCCAGTGGTTGATCGCCTAGTCTCATGACATCCAGCCCAGTCACTGCCACTGTACGCAGATAGAGATAGGTTGGAGTTCTTCTTAAAGTGTAAGCCAAGATGCATCGTCCCTTTTAGATAGCGAAGTATTCACTTTAAGAGACCAAAGTCAGACACAGTTGGCTGATGCATCCGTTGACATACCAAATTTACTGCATATTGTATGTCTCGTTTTGTTATTGTAAGATACTGGAGCTTCCCGGTCAAGCTTCGGAAATATGTTGGCTCGGAGAACATAGGAGAGACAGTATCTTCAACTCGTTGTGGCAGTGGAGTAGGGATAGGATTGCAGTCAGACATTGCAGCTTGGTAGAGAATGTCTTTAGTGTAAGCTTGTTGATGCAGGAACATCCCCCCTGAATACGTTTCAATCTGAATGCCAAGGAAGTAATGAGGTGCCCCTAGATCCTTCATAGAAAACCTTTGAGACAACGCTTCAAGTAATTGTTGCATAAGTGTATCATCACTTTCAGTAAGTAGAATATCGTCTACATACAGGAGTAAGACCAGAGTCTTGTTTTGATGATGAAAGGTAAATAATGAAGGATCATAACCCAAAATCGATCAGAAAGTTGCTGAAAGTGTTGAACCAAGCTCTTGGTGTTTGCTTAAGACCATAAAGCGCCTTAGTCAACTTGCAGACATAGTCTGGTTTTTCCTGATCAACAAATCCCTCAGGCTGGTACATGTAGACAGGCTCGTCGAGTTGTCCATGTAGAAAGGCACTAGTAACATCAAGTTGTCGAATTTTCCAGCTTCTAACTACTGCAATATCCAGAAAAAGTCTGATAGTTGCTGTGCGTACCACAGGACTAAAGGTCTCTAAATAACCAAGTCACTCTTCTTGTTGGAAACCTCTAGCCACTAGTCTTGACTTGAGCTTTCGTGGAGTACCATCTGGATTCAGCTTTACTGTGTGAACCCATCTATTGCTCGGAATATTCATGTCTTGAGCAGGAGGCACCAGTGTCCAAGTATGCAACATGTGAATGTTTTGCATTTCTTCTGAGACATTTCTTCTGAGACTGCAGCATTGCATCTTGGATGTTTCATTGCGTTTGCAATAGTCTTAGGAATCTCAGTTGAGTATTTTGGCACTAACAAAGCATACCTTGTGTTGTGTCTTTGTATGACTGCTTTTGCTCTAGTCCTCATTGGATGTTGATTAACCACATGTGCTGCAGCAGCTGGATCTTGGTTGACGGTGTGGGGTTCCGGTGGAACAGGTGGAGGAGGTGTAGGAGACTGGGGTGGAGGGGTGGGAACAGATGGAGAAGTTAGATTTAGAGCAGGAAAAAGTCTGGTTATTTGATCAGTCTCTGCAGGAAGCGTCTGAGGAAGAGTCATTGACTGCCAAGCTTTTAACAGTGGAGTCTCATATCTTGGAACAAAGGTCTTGTATTGTTCCTTGTAGGGGAAGCATTCCTCATTAAACACAACATGTCGAGAGATATATACTTTCCCAGTAGGAGGAAAGAGACATCTATATCCCTTGTATTGGTTACTGTACACTAAGAGGACACATTGCCGAGACTTTGGTTCAAACTTATGTGTACCAATAGGTCTCAAACACGGATAACATGCAGAGCCAAAGACTCGGAGAAATCCATACTCTGATTTTGATTTGTAGAGAAGCTCATATGGACTCTTGTTGTGAGTAACAAGAGAAGAAAGAAGATTACTGATATGACTTGCAGTAGAAAAAGCTTCAACCTAGTGATGTAAAGGAAAATGCCCTTGAAACATCATCGATAGACCAAGTTCAAGAAAGTGTCTGTGTTTTCTCTCAGCCATCCCATTCTGTTGGGGTGTATAGGGACAAGAGATTCTGTGTGTTAATACCATTCTCTACAAAAAAAAAAATGCTTCAAGTTGGTTCCAATGAACTCTCCACCTCCATCCCTTTGGAACTCTTTAATTTTAGACATAAACTGATTTTCGACAAGTACTTTGAAGTCTTTAAACACAGAACAAAACTCTCCTTTATTACGAAGTGGACACAGCCAAGACTATCTACTGAAATCATCCACAAAAACTGCACAAAAACGTCACCAGAATGAAGCAAACGAGTAGGCAATTTCGTGTTGGTTCAAAACATAAATATGCTATAACTTTGGATTCTTAAAATGTTTAATCGAAATTAGAGGTTTCTCATACTGCAGACAATATTCTTTGATAGGGAGAGTTAACCAAAGATTTGAATACATACGAAGGAAAACATAGGAGAGAAGCAAACAAAGGACCAAATAGACATTTGTTTCTTAGACATCCTTGGCAACGAGATCGCCATTGAGCAAGGCTCTGTAAGCAGCCACTGGCCAAATGAAACCACGGAAGATGAGACGACTAGCCAATGGAACATCAATGATAATCTCTTTCATCGCTGGTTTCTTCTCGTCACTGATTGCTATCAAGTAGCTTCTTCCAACCCACCCGATCCATCCAGCAATGTAGAGGAAGAGAAGGCCTGGAGTAATGAACTCTCCCCAATGCCGCTGGTCTCCGTTCACTATCAGGTGTGGTAGACCGTCTGCCCCGCACAGAAGTCCATACTTGCCGTAGTTGTCGAACCTAAGCAAAAACATTACCACATGTCAGAAACATGGCAGTGCTGCCTACTCTGAGTGGACAATAGATGCGACCATTCTAAGTAGGGTTATAAATCTAAAAAAATATTAAAATTATTAAAACATTCTAAATAGACTGAAAAGATTTAAATAAATAATTTATAGGTATATTTTGTTTTAATTCAAAATTTTAAAAACATTATTCATAAAATTTAGTTTATTTATCCGATAAAAATGTTGAGACAGTCTGAATCTAATATGCGAATATGTAACTCAAAAATCAAAGATTCAATATATAGGAGATGAAATGGAGCAGAATCATCATCATTCCTTAAACAATTAAAAAAAAATTGAAGTTATGTTTGGTAGAGGAGAGGAACCTGCGCTTGGTCTTCTCGATCTGAGCGTTAAGAGCAAGAGCAGGAGCACTTTCAGGAGCGTAGAGCTTAAGAGATGATTGAAGCTTCTTGATCTGTTGCTTCTCTCTCTTGGCGAACTGTTTAGACTCCTTGCATGGAGTTAAGCCAGAGATATCAGCGACGGCTGGCATCGGAGCTGAGAGGAGGATGGACGAGAGAGCCACCGCCGCGGAGAAAGCCTTCATGGACTGTTGTTGCTGCGTCGCGGATTTGTCATCGGAGCAGACGAATCTCGCGGCGGATTTAGGTACGGACTGAGTGAGAGATTTGTTGGATCTCTGGCTGAGGACGAGGTTCGCTGGGATCGTGAGCGACATGGCTACTCGGAGGTCGACACTCGTTTGGGGAAGTTTGGAGGATGCAGCAGAGAAGCGGAGATATGAGAGCTTTAGATTCTTTAGATGAAAGACAAATAGGAGATTAGTGGAGGAGAGAAAGATAAGAGAAGAGGTCTTGTTTTGATGAGGTGGCGTATTATTAGTGGTCGATAATTTACACGTCATGGATAAGAGATTTTCCCGCGGATTTTGTACTTTTCTGATCACATGTTTAACGATATGTGTGGACTACACACGACTTACTATATGCCTATATTTATTTTCAAAAACAATGAAGGAATTAATGCAAATTAAAGAATTAAGCCAAAATGTTGCGTTAAATCATGGAGTATTATTTTATTTAACTAGATGTATAGTCTATGCGCAACCGCGGGGTTGGATACGTTGTTAATATGTTGTGTAGTTTTGTGCATGAGACTTTGCTGTTTTTTTTTTAACATTTTGTTTATCTGGCTTATCTATAGTTGTGATGAATGAAACATTAGAAGTCACACAAGTTGATTAGTCTGATAAAAGAATAAACATCAAATTCATATGGGTTGATATTTTCATTTTTTATTTTCGTAATGATTTTATCGAGCATTCTCTTTATTAGTGATTTTATCGAGCATTACTGTTATTAGTGCTTTCATGTAAAAAAATAATTTAATGGAGACAAGATAAAAAAGGGCATGTGTTTATTAGTGTAATTTTCTTTCTGAAATTATGTTGATCTGAATGGTTCGGGGTAAATATTTATTATTAAAAAATATGTTTTTTATTTTATTTGATGATTATAACTGAATTGAAATGATATTGGAGGTTAGAACATGATAACCTTTCTTATAAAAGTATCTAAGATGGTCTCATAAAGTTTCAAATCCTCAAGCCATTTTGTATCCCAACAACCAGCATAAAAAATCATTCTGAATCTCCCTAAACTTTTAGGTGTCCCGAAAAGCCCAAATTAAAAAAAAAAAATTACATGCAAGTACTGCGTTTCGAACCCGCGCACTCACGGTACCAACTTCTCATCACCAACTTACACCATTGGGCCATTTCATCACTCATTGATAACATTCAATGTTAAAAAGTCTTATCACTACAAGAAAACAAAGCATTTACTAGGAAATTTTACTAGGAAAATTCTTCCTCGTAAAGTTACTAAGCATTTACTAGGATCTTACGAGGAAAGCAAATTTCCTCGTAAGTTCCTCGAAAACTTACGAGGAAATACTTTCCTCGTAAGACCTTAGTAAATTTACGAGGAGCTTACGAGGAAAAAGTACTTTTCCTCG